GTTTTTTTAAAAAATATATTTCATTGATTTTTTTTTTTTTACAGAGAGGAAGGGAGAGGGATAGAGAGTTAGAAACATCGATGAGAGAGAAACATCAATCAGCTGCCTCCTGCACACTCCCTACTGGGCATGTGCCCGCAACCAAGGTACATGCCCTTGACCGGAATTGAACCTGGGACCCTTGAGTTCGCAGGCCGACGCTCTATCCACTGAGCCAAACCTGTCAGGGTAGTATGTGTGTTTTTTTAGGCAGGAGAGAAATACTTAAGATTTGACAAATGAAGGCAACAGAGGGGAAATTAGTAAAGGCTCCTTTTAACTATTTTTCAGAATATGCAAGGGGAGACTTATCCTTGAGCATGAAGCTTGCTTCATAGATTTTTATTTTATTTTTTGCATCATCATAGTAATTCTGCATAAATGGTTGTAAGATTGCCATTATTGTTGGATTCTGGATTCTGGGGTGCTTTTATTGCTTTAAACCTCAGTGGCTGAGAACAGAAATGACATTTTTTTATATATGCATATATTTTTATTGATTTCAGAGAGGAAGGGAGAGGGAGAGAGAGAGATAGAAACATCAATGATGACAGAGAATCATTGATCGGCTGCCTCCTGCAAGCCCCCCACAGGGGATTGAGCCCACAACCTAGGCATGTGCCCCTGACCGGAATCGAACCTGGGACCTTTCACTTCGCAGGCCGATGCTCTGTCCACTGAGCAAACCGGCCAGGGCAGAAATGACATTAAAAAAAAAAAATAAAACTATTGTTCTTAGCTTACAGCTAAAGGTTTTAAAAAATAGTAGTCTAGAATTAAAAGAAACTGCAGAATCAGATTATGTAACTTTATTACCACAGAGAATATCAAGTAGAGCCCATTCATGTTAGCTATGGGAGAATTGAGCCTAGAGAAGTTTAAGAAATGACTTAGTCAAGTTATAGTTATTTAGTCAATAATACAAGTCTTCTGGCTTAGTTCAGTTATATTACTTATTTTGAGCTTCCTGTAAGCTAGACCTTGTTTTTATGATTTCCACAGATTATTTCTAATTCTCACTATATTTCTAACAGATATATTCCCCCCCTTTTACAGATATGAAAATGGAAGCTCAGATACCTTGCCCAGTGAGTGAGTGAGCAGTGTTTAGTAACAGTGTGACCCCCGAGGTTGTGTTTTAATGCTTCATCTCTTAACCATTTTCTTTCCTTTAATGACTTACATAATCTTAATTAACTTAATTTGTTCCAGTGGTGAAGTCTTTTGCTTATTTTCATAGTCAGATGTTACAAACTATGCTTCTTACTGAAAGTTAACCCAGTTGTGTGCAATAGCAACATTTAAAAAATCTGGACTCTTAACTTCTTGCTGAGAACACTTTGCTCATCTTGATAGCCTCATTGTTATGGGGAACTCATATGAACACATTTGGATAGTGAATCTCATGAACTTGTACCTGTGCAGCCTCCCACATGGTAAAACAGCCTGAGAATGTGAAGGACCTGAGGTAGAAAGATAAAAGCTACTTGAGGATGAGATGGTGGTGAAAGATCTTTTAGGAAAAGTGTTGACATTTACTGGTACTATTACTAGGAACTCGTCCACATTCTAAATTGTGTTTACTGTCCCGATGATTCAACTTGGTTTCTTCTTGGCCAGCCCCTCTCTCCCCTGGCATGAAGCAGTAAGCTCTGTGATAACATGAGGACGCTGTAAGCCCATGAAGCCAGGGGACTTTGTTTATTGCTATGTATCAAACACGTAGTATACTGTGTGGCTAGAAAAGAGGGGGTAAGACTAGATGAGGGATTTTCATCCTACTTGAAAGATAGTCATTCTGTTTTCTCTTTTTGAAATCTCTGTATCTATACCCTCACTTCTTGATGCTCTCTTGTCTGCTAAGGTCGTTTAGCCAGATACTCAAGGTAGACAGAAGTGTTAGGTTTTTACTGTGAACTTTCCAGAGTTGAGTGATATTATATATCTTCTGCTTGTCTTTTCCCCACTTGTCTATTGTGGACAAGACCCCTAAATGACTTAAAATGGTTTAATGATATTTATTAAATGTTAATATTCATTGAGCATATTGAATTTCTAATGTATAGGAACATGATCTGTATTTTAAAAATAATTGCTTATGGAAATAATTGAAAAAATCCCTCTCCCATGGAAGTAAGTCCAGAAAAACTTCGACCTCCTTTCCTGCATTATTAAAAATATATGCACATCATTAGTCATCAGTGAGATATACTCTTCCTATCCACTACAGTCACTGAAATGAAAAAGACAGAGAAAGCGCTGGCTATGAGGAAGACATCAAAACCCTCACACGTGGCCACTGAGAACGGAAAGTGGTGTAGCCACTGTATAAAACAGTCTGGCAGTTTATCAAAGGGCTGAACATAGTTACCCAATAATCCAACAGTTGCACTCCTAGGTATATACCCAAGAAAATAAAAATATATATCCACACAGAAACTTGTATGTGAATGTTCATGGCAATTTTATTTGTAGCAGTCCAAAAGTGGAAAAACCCCAAATGCCCATCGAGTGAATGGCTAGACAAAATATGGTAAATCCAGTGGAACATTGTTTAACAATGAAAAGGAGTGATGAAGTGTTGATACATGCTATATTTGGATGAACCACTTACAAAAGACCACTATGTATGATTTCACTTATATATAAAACTAGGGGCCTGGTGCACAAAATTCGTGCACTGGGGGGAGAGGGGGGGGTGTGGAGTGTGTGTCTCTCAGCCCAGCCTGCCCCCTCTCACATACTGGGAGCCCTCAGGGGATGTCCTACTGACGGCTTAGGCCCACTCCTTGCTCCCCTTGGGGAGTGGGCCTAAGCCGCAGTCTGGCATCCCTTTGTGGGAGGCGACCGGGCTGATCAGGGGAAGGCACCAGCCCCATCACCCCGCTGCTGCAGCCACTGCCAGTCACTGCAGCCACCAAGGTGTTTTCATCAACACAGACTCTAGTCCAGCTGTGGGCAAACTACGGCCCGTGGGCCGGATCCGGCCCGTTTGAAATGAATAAAACTAAAAAAAAAAAAAAAAAAAGACCGTACCCTTTTATGTAATGATGTTTACTTTGAATTTATATTAGTTCACACAAACACTCCATCCATGCTTTTGTTCCGGCCCTCCGGTCCAGTTTAAGAACCCATTGTGGCCCTTGAGTCAAAAAGTTTGCCCACCCCTGCTCTAGTCCCTTCACCATGAAAAAATGACAACTTTCTTTAGGCATTTTCAAGATGTGTCTTTCATAGGATATGAAATTTCTTTCTTTTCTTTTTTTTTTTTTTTTATCCTCACCTGAGGATATGTTTCCATTGATTTTTAGGGAATGTGGAAGAGAAAGAGAAAGACAGAGAAAAACATCAGAGTGAGAGGAACACTTTGATTGGTTGCCTCCTGCATGAGGCCTGACTTGGGCCCTGGCCAGGGAGGAGCCTGCAACCTAGGTACATGCCCTTGGTCAGAATTGAACCCAGACCCTGCGGTCAGCAGGCCGAGGCATTATCCACTGAGCCAAACGGCTAGGGCAGGATATGACATTTCTTAGCCCTCCAGCAGCGGATCTGTGTGTTTTTTCTCCAGGAGTGTGGTGGAAAAACCCTAGGTCACCTTCTTGGATTCTTATTACCCAAGTTACTAAGAATATTACCAGTGGCATACAGGGAGCTTAGCCAATGAGCGGTCAGAAAAGGTGTTTCCTCTGTAGTTCACACTGATCCTTGGCTTGGCCCCTGCCCAGGCCTAAAGCCTCAGGGCCTGGGCAGGGGACCCCCAGCTCCCTCCTATCTCCGACTCGGCCCCTGCCCAGGCCTAAGGCCTCTGGCTGGGACTTTAGGCCTGGGCAGGGGACCCCCTGCTTCCTCCGGTCGCCAGCTCCACCCCTTCCCAGGCCTAACGCCTCTGACCAAGGCGTTAGGCCTGGGCAGGGGACCCCCAGCTCCCTCCGATTGCTGGCTCTGCCCCTGCTTCCTCCCATTGCGGGCTCTGCCCCTGCCGAGGCCTAACTGCTCTGGCCGAGGCTTTAGGCGTGGGCAGAGGCCCCCTCGGCTCTGATCGCAGGCTCAGGCCCTGCCCAGGAGCCCCCTGGCTCAGGCCCTTCCTAGGCTGCTCAGGGCCCACATGGGGCCTACCTCAGAGTGACCTGGGTGCCCGATGATATTCCCGGGACCCAGGCCACTGGGATCCTATGTATGCAAATTAACCACCATCTTTGTTGGGTTAATTTGCATACTCTCCTGATTGGCTGGTGAGTGTAGCCGAGGGATGGTCAATTTACATGTTTGTCTATTATTAGGTAAGATGTCCAGAATAAGATAGAAAGTAAGTTAGTGGTTGCTTAAGGCTGGAGGAGTTTGGAGCGGATGGAGAATGACTGCCAATGAGTATAGTGCTTCTTTTTGGGTAATGAAAGTGTTCTAAATTAGATAGTGGCTATGGCTGCACATCTAAATACCATAGACTTATACACTTATAAGGGTGAATTGTTTGGTATCTAAATTACATTTCAATAAAGTTATTATAACAGTATATATAGCCCTGGCCGGTGTGGCTCAGTTGGTTGGGCATCATCCCAGGCACCGAAAGGCCAGTTTGATTCCTAATCAGGGCACATGCCTGGCTTGTGGGCTTGATCCCTGATGGGGGATATGCAGGAGGCAGCCAATTGATGTCTCGCTCTCACATTGATGTTTCTCTCTTTCTTCCTCTCCCTTCCTGTCTTTGTAAAAATCAATAAGTCTTTTTAAAAAATGTATATATAGATGTATGTATAGATGCATTTGTTTCCGTGAGCATAAATTATCTCCAGAATGATACACATTGGTTGCTTGTGGGAAAGAGCTGGGGTGGGAGGAGATTTTTACTAAATATCGTTTTTTGTCTTTTGAATTTTGTGCCTTGTGACTATTTTACAAATAAATGTTAACTAATAAAGGTATAAATGACTTATCTCCTCTCTTAATTTCATTGTGATCAGGTACTTCAGGGGTTAGATTATCTACACAGTAAATGCAAGATCATTCATACTGACATAAAGCCGGAAAACATCTTGATGTGTGTGGACGACGCGTACGTGCGCAGAATGGCAGCCGAGGCCACGGAGTGGCAGAAAGCGGGTGCTCCTCCTCCGTCAGGGTCTGCAGGTGAGGGCCAGGCCAGCTCTGTCTCAGGCAGCTTGGGAACATTGAGAGCTTGCACAGTTGCATGGTGAGGCAGCTGTGTACGTATTAGGAACTTTGGTAAGAACCTGATGGATAGAAATAACGACTTTTTTCTTAAGAAGGAAGATGCTTCAAATTACACTTTCACATTTGAGTTCTTTGTTCTCCCTTAAAAGGTCATTTCAATTCTTACCTTTGCACATTTCCTTCTGTTGCCCACTTCTCTGTAGAAGTATATAGCAGCGGGCTTATGTAGCTGACATGTAGTCATCAGAGTTTTTTCTAGCTTCAGGCTTGTTAGCATGCCTCCTAGTCTCCAGTTAGCACAGTTACCTCAGTCATAGTCCACCTAGTGGGTTTGGAATCAGTTACAGACCCCAGGGGCGGGGGGAAAGACCAAGTGACTTGAGTATTAGTATATCAAGTTTAATTTCTGGTTTTCCCTGACTACAAAGGTGGCAGTGAGGGGTTGACTGTTCTCTCCCCTCTCCTCACAGTGTGTGTGCCCCAGGCCATCAGGCAGGCGAGTAGGCTCAGGGCTGCAGCCCTGTGACTGACGGGGGCTTGGGAGATGCAGCACCTCTGAATCTTATTTCTACCATCGGTGTTTTCCTAGATCATGGACCCTTTTAGTCTGTCAAGCTTTTGAGGCTGGCAAGGTCTGGTCATTTGATTTGTAGAATATTTGCTGCAATATTTGATTTACTTTAGTTGTACAAACTTGCTAAATTTCAAACATCTCATCTAAATTGTTTGATTGTTTATAAAACAAGTTGGTTCAATGACTTCATTTGTGAATCTTCCATTTTCTTAAGTTATTAGTCAGTGCTTTTGGATGGCTTATTTCTGAAATGAATGGTTATTTCATTTCATTTTATTTTTAAATGGTTATTTAATTTTAGATAAACAAGAGAAATGGTTCCATATTGAACAGCTATTGCTATGATTTTTAAGAACCATTCATTTGAGTTGGGTAAACATTCTTTAGATTTAGATCTCTTTGATTCAGAAGCTCTAGTATTTAAATTGTTGAAGTTGCCGAAACCGGTTTGGCTCAGTGGATAGAGTGTCGGCCTGCGGACTGAAAGGTCCCAGGTTCGATTCCGGTCAAGGTCATGTACCTGGGTTGCGGGCACATCCCTCGTAGGAGATGTGCAGGAGGCAGCTGATCGATGTTTCTCTCTCATCGATGTTTCTAACTCTCTATCCCTCTCCCTTCCTCTCTGTAATAAATCAATAAAATATATTTTAAAAAATAAATAAATAAATAAATTGTTGAAGTTGGATAGCCATTAAAAGATAGTAATTATTTCATTTTACAATTTAATAAGGATATGTATCAATTTCCCTCTAAACTGTCATTTTTTTGTTTGTTTTAGTGAGTACGGCTCCACAGCAAAAACCTGTAAGTACTAATCTTAAAAGCAACTGCTCATTACTGAACTTTTCACAGTGTAACAGTAGTTTGTTTCTTTCTGCAACAATTTTTCATTTAAGGGTAGATTGAGGGAATTGGTCATATATTGTTTTGGTTCCTTTCTCAATCACAGATGTCCTAATATATAGTAATGTAATACACAGGTATGTTTACAAATGCTGTGTATCCTTGAATATATAAGACTTAAACTGTTTTGGTAAGCTGAACTGAATTTTAGGCTTAGAAATAGTTAGAGCGGTTCCAAGTTTGATCTTCATTTTCCTTGCGTGCTTTCTGGAGTGCTGTTGGCCGAGCTTGGTGAAATATGAAGTGATAGAAATAGAGTTTGGAGTGTGATTATTCTGAAACACTTTACCTTAGTTCTCATTGGCTTCCAAGTTCCCTGTTTTTCTAATGCAGCTCTAAATTTTTTCCCCTAGCTAGTAGTTAAATATGGGAGAGATTATCTTTTTTGTGGTCCTGTGAAAACACTAAGTCCAGTCAAATGAAGCAGGCTGCCTGGAAAGAAACCCTGCCCAGCAGCCCTGACCCCAGCTGGGTCCAGGGGACGATTGAATGTCTCTATCTCGTCACCTACAGATTTTAGAGCTTTGAAAGGAAATGCCCAGGAATGCAGGGTGCTGCCACAGCCCTCAGTTGGGAGTGGAAGTCCCAGTAGAAGAGGAGTGGTAATAATTGCGCCACCGGGCCTGCGAGGCGGTGAGCCGTGCCGTTCTCCATAGTTCCCCACGACTCGAGCAGCTGGCTTTGATCTGTGAAAACTGGAGGCTCTCATGGCTAGTAGCTTCCAAGTTAGATGCCTATCATTGGAGGCGCTTTTCTCTGTTTTCCTTTACATGGGCTCATTTCCTACATTCATGCAGTCTTGGCTGTTGATAACAGCTCAGTGTGTGAGACCCAAACAGAAACAGTGCCGTTGACCACCTGTGAAGGAAACCTGTTTTGGCAGGCCTTTCTTTTTTGGCAGGCACCTTGGTTAGGTAGTAAGGAGAGGGGACTTTGTTACTTTGTGTACAAGCAGCAGCACATAAAACTGGCAAGTGGTGCTTCTTGTTATCTCAGCATATTCAGTACTTCTCAGAGTTTCAATGGAAAAAACTTAATTGGATTTAAGCTACATCCCTCTGAGGGTAGCACCTATTATTTGATATTACATTGGTTCCTTTTTTTTCTGGTTTGACTGTAACCCTAGCCACCAGGTAGATCTCATGTCTGGGCATGTGATTTTAATTGAATACGATCTGGAAAAAAAACCCAGACTTTGTTAGTATTTGCTATACTTCCAGGCTTTATACTATTGCATAGTGCTTTCAAAAGAAGCAAACTGACCTGTGGTATTTTCTTACCATGTTGTAGATAGGAAAAATTTCTAAAAACAAAAAGAAAAAACTGAAAAAGAAGCAGAAAAGGCAGGCTGAGTTACTGGAAAAGCGCCTGCAGGAAATAGAAGAATTGGAACGCGAAGCTGAAAGGAAAATAATAGAAGAAAACGTCACATCAGCTGTACCTTCTAATGAGCAAGATGATGAATACCGCCCAGAGGTGAAACTAAAAACAGCAGCGCTAGAGGAGGCTGCTGAGGGAGAGCCTGCGCTGGACAACGGTCAGTCGCTTGGAAGAAGGGGCTGCAGAGAGGGCCCAGGGCCTCCCTGACAGGGACCCTCCCCCGGGGCACCACAAAGGGTGGCCGTGCTGCTTCAGAGTGAGGAGGGTTCTCTTTAACTCCTTACTCAGGAATATGGGGAACTGTCTGGTAATTCATTTGTAAAACGGATGCCAGAAATATGTTAATATTTTCACAAGTTTTTTAAAACATGGGAAATATCTGAGAAACTCCATGTCTCTATCATGCTGATGATTGTCTTTTATTTTGTAATTAACTTTTTACCTAATAATGCTATACCCACAAACCTTCCCTGAGGGTTACAGAGGAGACGGTAGAAATAGAAATGCAACTATTAGATCATTTTCCCCCAGGAGCTAACTCTTTCTAATAAGAGAAGGCCAGTTACTTAATAAATGCAAATTAAGATTTCAGAAACCCGAGGACATTACCCTGAGAGCCAAGCGGTGTTTGCTGTGTAGTGCATAAGTTAAGCACATTTAGAGTTCTCTCTTGTTGGAGGAGATAAGTGCCTAGTGCCATTGTGGTAAGGAGGTAACAAGTTCTAATTCTCCACTCATCAACCTTTTAAGGTGAAGCTGAGGACCAGGAAGAGAAAGAAGATGCTGAGAAGGAAAACATTGAGAAGGATGAAGACGATGGTGAACAGGAGGAGCTCGAGAACATAGACCCCACGTGGATAGAGTCACCCAGAACCAATGGCCACATTGAGAACGGCCCGTTCCTGTTGGAGCAGCAGCTGGATGACGAAGACGATGATGAAGAAGATTGCCCAAACCCCGAGGAGTATAATCTTGATGAGCCAAACGCAGAAAGTGATTACACCTACAGCAGCTCCTATGAACAATTCAATGGTGAATTGCCAAATGGACGGCATAAAATTCCCGAGTCACAGTTTCCAGAGTTTTCCACATCATTGTCCTCTGGGCCCTTAGAACCTGTGGCTTGTGGCTCTGCACTTTCCGACGGATCCCCGCTTACTGAGCAGGAGGAGAGCAGCCCGTCCCACGACAGGAGCAGGACGGTCTCGGCCTCCAGCACCGGGGACTTGCCAAAAAGTAAGTGTCCCCCCCCATCAGGTACCTGCCTCAGTGGTCTGAGTCACACTTGACAAAGGAGGGAATTGGCTGGAGGTGGGAAGGCCATGTCTGTCTGCCGCACCACTTCCATTTTATCTGTGTACTCGTGAATAATTAATGTAACATAAAGTATAGTCTGTGCCACTTTCTCTTGCTCTCTACGTCTCAGATCCATTTCTGAGCTTGTCTCATTCTCTCTATATTTAGTGACATCGTCTAAGAACCTTCCAAGTTTAAGAACTTATACCTGTAGCTTTCTAGAATGTGTAGTTTAATTTATACTTCCATCTGTAATATTTAGTTTTTGGTTTGTTTTGTTCCTATTCAAAGAGGTAGGTGCCTGTTCTTTGTCTGATTGAGAAGGGGTGTCTTTATTTTGATACTTATTCCTGATTATAGGACTTGGTTGCTGCCATTTTAAAGGCAGTGACAGGATTTAAATGTGAATGCCACGTGACACATCTCTGCCGTGACCTGCCAAGGGACTTCAGTAAGCAAACCCTGGGCACCATGGCTGGTTTCCATTCTGGCCTCACAGACCTCCTCGGCTCCCTCTGCTGACGAGTGTTTAACAGACAGTCGGTGGGCCAGCCAGCCTGCAGATAGCTCAGCCAGGTCTGCAGCCCTTCCATTTCAGCAGGAGGGAAAGGCCTGCAGAGCCGCCTTGCTGCACACAGTCTGATCCTGTTTACCTTTACTCCGAGCAGAACCTTTTAAAGGTGCTTACAAGATGCTTCACGTGGGATGTAGGTTCGTCTAAGGAAGCACTCACCTCTGCGTGTCTTACTCACTCTCAGGCTGCCAACACTGCTCTGACTGCTGGGCACCAAGTGTAGCATAGCCACTTCCCCTTTATTTTTAAGACACAATAACGAGCATCTGTGTGCACAAGGCATGTTCGCTCATGCTTCTGTCCCTTCACTTGTGCTTCCCGCTGGCCTGGAATGTTTCCTCCTGTTTATCCATTGTCCATGCTTTTGGCAAACTTTCGTTGTTTGGTCAGGTAGCAGCTCAAACACGAGTCCTGTGTTCCCCCCCCGGCCTGATCCCTTTCCCCTCTTTCCCTGCTGGTCAACTTTCCTTAAGTGCATGGTCATTGTTCATCTCCATTGTTTTTCTCTTCACTAGGATGTAAAATCTCTTTGAAAGGGCTATGTATTTTTCTCTTTATATCCTCAGCATCTAACTTGATTCTAAGATAAACATTTGTTGAGTAGTGAACAAACAAATCAGTGATATTTGGTTACATTCTTCTACTCTTTCCTTTCTCCCACTTTTTTCTACTCACAATCAAAATTTTACTCTCTCCAACACACATTCCATCCATTCCCAGCACCCTGTCTGTTGCATGAGTGCTGGGAGAGGCAGGGAGAACAATTAGGTCTGGTTTTTCCCCATTGGTCTTTTGGAGAGAGTGGAAGAGAGGGAAAGACAGAGAGAAACATCGATGTGAGAGAAACACATCGATTGGTTGCCTCCTGCACAGGCCCTAACTGGGGCCCAGGCTGGGGAGGAGCAAGCAACCAAGGTATGTGCTCTTGACCGGAATTGAACCTGGGACCCTTTGGTCTGCAGGCCAACGCTCTATCCACCAGCCAAACCAGCAAGGGCGAAGTTCTTTTTTTTTTTTTTCTTTTTTCATTGAGCCCAGTCTCTTCTTACCAAACAGACCTTTTGAATATGGTCATATTCTAGGGACATAGCAGGGACAGGATCTCCTCATCCACGCATGTGATGGGAGGTTCTCATTTTGGTTTTCAGCTTGGCTGTTTCATAACCATGGGCCAGCACCCCACCCCTCCCCCCATGGGAGGTGTTTCCTGCAAGAAAGGGGTGTGATCTAGAGGCTGGTGGGTGCCACTTAGTACTTAATGAATACGAGGCAAGAGAAACAAGCTTTTATGATGAAGACGATGATGAAGAAGATTGCCCAAACCCCAAGGAGTATAACCTTGATGAGCCAAACGCAGAAAGTGATTACACGTACAGCAGCTCCTGTGAACAATTCAATGGTGAATTGCCAAATGGACGACATAGATTTTGTTTAGATCCTTTTCATTACAGCAGAGCGTAGTTGAAGAAGAGGCCAGGCCAGAGTGAGAAGTCTGAAGGAAGGCGTACATACCAGGCTGGAGAATGTGGGCTTTCCCTGGAGTAATGCGGTAGCCTAGAAGGTTGAGGGAGGAGGCAGGATTCCTCTTGGGTTGTTCGCTGCTAGATCCATAGACTACTAGACCCTGGCTCATCACGGCCGAGGGGCGGAGACTTGAGGCAGCGTGGTGGTGTCGGCTTTCCCTTGCAAGAACGTTGGTCTATTTTGGATCCTTCCCCTCTCACCTAATAGTGACCATGTCACTGTCAGTCCTGCCTAGGCTGCTGTAACTAACACAGGTTCCCTGTCATCTCACTTTGCTCTCACTCCCTAGCCATTCTCTGGAGAGCAGTCCAAAGAGAGAGCTTGTTGAAAGCTTATCCCGTCCACTGAGCATGGCCCCGGAGGCACAGTGCTAACGCTTACAGCTCTCTGCAGTCTGCTCCCTGCCTGTCATTTCCCTAACATCCCCTGGGTCTACTTCCTGGGCTCATTCTGTACCTCCCACACTAGCTTCGTTCTGGTTTCTCAGAAGTACCAGCGGGTGTGTTGGTGGCTCTTTGCACTCCACCTCCCTTGCCTAGAGCTCCCTTCCCAGACTCCCTTCCTCAGGCCTCCCGTCTCAGGAAAGACCTCCCCTGAACACCCTCCATTATCCAGCTCTTTTCTTTGCTTTGCTTTTCTTCAGAGCATATAGAGCCACCTGACATGGTGTGTGACTCATTTTATTTACTTTATTGCCCATACTCCCAGCCGGTACATGCGTTACCTAATTTGGGGTGTGGTGGGTGAACCTCATTTGTCTTGTTTATGCTGTTTCCTGTGCCAAGACAGCACCTGGAACAGATAATGGGTCGGGTTTGGGCACTAAATCTCCTAGTTTTGCTCCTTGCATTTGGTACTGAATCTGCATATCAAGAGGGCATTCATGCCTCCCGTTACAGATACTTCAAACTAAAGTATCAATGTGGTTTTTCCCAGTGGTTAGAGCGTCGACCATGGACTGAAGAGTCTCGGGTTCGATTCCCGGATTCCCAGTCAAGGGCATGTACCTTGGTTGCAGGTTCCCCAGCCCCAGGTCAGGGCATGTGCAGAAGGCAACCAATCAATGTGTCTCTCTCACGTCGATGTTTCTCTCTCTCTCCCTCGTCTTCCTCCCTCCCTCCCTTCCAGTCTCTCTAGAAATCAATGGAGGAGATGTCCTTGGGTGAGGATTTAAAATGAATGAATGAATGAAGTATCGATCTGGGCCTAGAATAGAGCCTTGCAGTGCAGTGATGGCGGCTGTTTTGTCACTCGTAGGCCTCCCTGGCTGTCATCTTACTAGTTTCTAGGATGGTTTCAAGTGGAGGGAACACAGTGTCACCCTGAGACCAGTTTATCAGGAATGGCTTCAGGGCCGCAGCCCTTCCTGGAGTGAACTCTTTCCACTCGCCACTCTCTCCTTGGTAGCAGTAAAATGGGTGTGACTGCAGCAAGCATGATTGTACCTGTGTTTGAATGACTTTTTGTTTAGCATAATTCTCTCCAGGTCCATCCATGCTGTAGCAAATGGTAAGAGTTCTTTCTTTTTTTATAGCAGCGTAGTATTCCATTATGCAGATGTTTAAATGACTTTTTGAATATTACAGTCAGGTACTCAGAAGAAAGTTCTCTTTTACCTTCTCTGTGCTTTTATACAATTACATGTTTAAGGTAAATTCCATAGTGCCGTTTGTGAGGTGGTCATTGCCTCACACCTGAGCCAGGGGATGACCGCATGTCCCTGCAGCAGGCCCTTCCCCTGCCACTGGCACAGGGAGCCCCAGGCTCTACAGGCCAGACACTGCCCGCCTCCTGTGCACAGTCTGTGTGTGCGTGTGTGTGCGGGTGCGGGGAGGGGTGGTCCCTTCCTCTCCCTTCGTTTCACTGAGTCTCAAACAGCTTCAGTCATTTGCCAGAGTCGTAGAACTTGTAGGTTTTGGAACTTAGATTTTACTCCAGTTTTGCAGACCTCAGATTTCGGTTTCCTGCCTGCTGCCTCTCCTGACTGAATGCCACACGGATTTGTCCAGCCTTCGCATGCTGCCCATGCATCCATCAGGGTAGCATTTTTGTTTCTCCTGGAACTCTCTTCTCAACCCTTTCTCTGTTCGGTGTGTACATTGTGCCTTTTTATGGGCTGCTTTCCTTCTTATTTCTGAGTTTCCTGTGTTTCTTCTTAGCTCAGATCTGGCCTTTGATGGGGCCCATGGTGATCAGTCTTTTTATAAAGAGGAAAGTGGGCATTGGCAGTCAGCAGGAAAGGAACATGTGAGTCTGCCTGCCCCATTGATCCACAGCCTGAGGAATGGGTCTTGAGGGTTAAACCAGAGCGCTCTCCACATCCTCTGGCCCCTCCTGTGGGGCTGTGTTGGTGTTCTGGGTGCCAGGCACCTCGCCTACCCACTGCCCTGTGAACAGTGAGCACGGCTGGCCTTGCTGCCCTGGGTGCTGAGGCGTCAGAGCCTCCTTCAGTGCCATGGCTTCCTGGCACAGATGCACCCACAGGAGGTTTGGTTCATTTCACAGTGCCCAGCTTTGCCTGAGCAAAGGGTGTTTAATGTTGTGTTTAGTCTGTAAAAACCACTTCAGAATTCTATAGTAAAAGCCATGGCTGTACCTCATCCTCTCCAGAATTCCGAGCTTGTAGGTCAGTTGAGATTTGCTGAAGATGCTGACTGAGCTCCAGGATTTGCTGTCTGGGCCTCACCAGGTTACTTTCGTGGTCACTGGCCCCATGGTTACTGTGCGTGATGCAGGCATGGTCTGGACTTGTCTGAGATGCTCTTCTGTCCTGGAGCCCTGAGGAGGCTGGCCCTGTGCCGACCATGAGGTTCTCTCAGGGTCACCCTGGGGCTGAGAGGGGCCGATTATTTGGCAAGACCATCGTGAAGGACCTCAGAGGTTTGAGAGGTTTGCCTTACAAACCAGGCCTTCTCAGGAAATCTCTCTTCTGGAATATTCCTTGTCCAAGGCTAACCAGGCTGATGAGTCCTGGCCTTTAATCTGTTTAACCATCATCTAACATCCCAAGCAGAGGGGGGGCGGGGGTGCAGGTACAATGACGCTCAGAGTGGCACTCTGCTGCCGTGCTCTGTAGTAATGCACAGACGGGCTAGGTGGGGACCACCAGGGAATGTGCCCTCACACAGTGAGCAGCCAGAGACATGCAGGAGGGAGCCGTGCAGGGCTGGCCCGAGGGGCGAAGGAATTCGAGGCAAAGGAGAAAGGACGGGGCAGTGCCCGTGGGGTCTTGGGCAGCCTAGTTTGTTCCTTTTTGCGAAATGTTTTCCAGAGATAGAGACCACAAATGTTAAATTCTGTTGAGTTCAGCTTACAGGGTTCCAGGCCTAAATGACCATCCTATCACTTTTCTGGAAAAGGAGGCTCTGTGCCCGGCAGACGTGTGTGCACACCTGCCAGCCACTTCCCCATGCACTAACTGTCCTGCTGTTTGCTCATGCCAGCCAAAACCCGGGCAGCGGACTTACTGGTGAATCCCCTGGATCCACGGAACGCCGATAAAATTAGAGTTAAAATTGCTGACCTGGGAAATGCTTGTTGGGTGGTAAGTAGAATTTTCTTTCTAAAACATTTTGGTGGTGGTCATGTAGAAGACACGCTGTTTTCTTTTTTTAATGTGTCCTCCCTGGTAATGCAGTCTGTTCCCTTTCAGCATAAACACTTCACAGAAGACATCCAGACACGTCAGTACAGATCCATAGAGGTTTTAATAGGAGCAGGTTACAGCACCCCTGCTGACATCTGGAGCACGGCCTGTATGGTAAGAGCGGCGTATGGCGTGGCCACTTTCCTCCCTGTAGAGGCTCATCACCTGGGTCCCCGTGATGGGCAGGGTCTCGCTGGTGCTGCCGTCCGCAGCGTCCTGACCATGAAGGTTGTCCACTGTGGGCAGGGGAGGGGTAGGTTGCTGCCTTAAGTGTCCTAAGAATTGGAAGAACTCTTCTCGGGCACGTCCTGGGCGTGGGCTGGGTTGGGTCTGGTCTTGTGAGAGAGGTGTCCTCTCAAGACCCTGAGCAGCCAGCCCTGAGAATCAGACCTCCACTGTGGTGGCAGCGACTTCAGCTAATTCCTCTGGTTGCTGAGAGCCTGCAGGTTGTCTGCAGCCTCATGCTTCACTCACACTGTGGCCCAGGGGATGATTTTTCGAGTGTGGAGGCCCCTGGCCGACCCTGTCTCTGGAGAGGAAGGTCACCCATCTACCAGTGTTTTGTCTCTCTTTTTCTATAAAGTCAAATCTAGAGAATGTCCTGACTTCTTGTTCAGGGCTGTCCGTTCGCTTCGGAGACAGCAGTAGCTGCACACGCTCCTGAGCCCGGGTCCTCCGTGGGGGACACGGTGATGTTTTCCTCGGGCCTCAGGAGTCTCCTCTTCCTCCCGGTGTCCTGTCCTTTTCCGCTGCCCGTCTTGTGCACCAGGAGTTGAGTGGTGTCTGAGCTCTCCCCAGGCCCCACCAGGGCATCTCTTTCTCACTCCCTACATGTGAACTGATGAACGTGAATGGTCCGTCATCCATAAGCCGGTTTCGGTTCCTCTTTCTTGGCCCTCTCTCCTGGCCAGGTCAGCACCTTCCTCCTCATGGCTGTACTGGGTAGTCCTGTGTTGGAAATGGAGTGTGTGTGTGTTGATTAGAGTGGTGGTTCATGCTTTCCTTATTTCATGTCCTCCCCCCACCCCCCACTTCTCCTCTGACCTTGAAATGCAAGGGCATGTGTGCAAAGCTAGGCACTTTGTCTCATTGAAAAAATGCTGAATAATTAGATTTACTGTTATTCAAAGGTGAATGTAACAGTTGAGTTTATTGGATTATTTGTTACCGCTGCAGCAAAAGCATTGTTAATAGCACTAAAACGATATGAAAAAAGTAGATGTTTCAGGTTAGCATGATCTGAGGCAACAGATATGGCAAACAGAACTGAAACTGTGCCTTTCTATTCCCACGTGGCTCTGATGGATAATTCCAGATAATTCTGAAAATTGAGTTTCTCAGTAAGTATCAAAAACTAAGGCATTGCTGTGACTGGGTATGGAAAAGAATGGTTAAAAGACTTGGTGGAAATGTGGTGGTTCCTTTGAAGCTCGAGATGCTCTGTGTGGCTCCGGAGGGCAGGCGGGGGTGGGGGGGGGGGGGCAAGGGCTGGGGCAGGAGAGGGGAGGCTTTGAACAGTGGGAGCTGCGGGGGAGGATGCTTCAGGACGGGGTGAGGTCAGGCCTTGCTTGTCCCAGCAGCACAGAAGGGGCCACGTCAGAGCCGCCCTGAATAGACAGAACTTTTTAACTCTGATATCCTGTGCTTCTAATTTTGGATGTTAAATGTTGGTGATATAACCAGAAAAATAGGACAAGATCACAGATATGGCAGAATAATGGCAGAGCAGGCAGTACAGGCCATACCAGGGTATCTGTCTTCCCTCCATTAGAGAAGAATTGGTCCGTCCACACAGTCTCCTGCCGCTGACTCCTGCTGCTGCTGCTGCTGTAAATGGTGGCCTCAACTTCACCACTCCTGGGGAAGAGCATTCACTCGTCTCCTTCCAGCAGCTCTCCCCCCGACCCTCTCGCCCCTCCTTTCCAATAAATTAAACATACACTCCCTCAGCACTTCTAGGGCCACTTATGAGGGTTTAAAAAATTTTGCCAACGGTGATTTTTCTAGGAGGTGCAGTCTTCATTCCCCACCCCCACCCCTTGTCCCCGAAGGTCGTGACTGAGAGCTCCCTTTTGTTTTAAGTAGAGAACCTGGTAAAGATGAGGCAATGTTTCCACATGCCCATCCTTTTATCAAAGTTTAAAAATATGACAGTGTATTACATTCATAATTCCAAGCTGCGTTAAGCTCCAGCATTCTTGGAGGAGAAGCCCAGAGTCCTCTGGGTGTTAAGTGGCACCAAGCTCTGCGGAGACTGCAGTGGGGATGGCGCTCCTGCGCGGTGGCCGCACCATCCTGCTCATGAGCCCTCAGAAAGGACAGCACAGTGAGGCGCAGCAGCTGGAGGTGATCAGGTGTAAGTGCATGGGACCTGTCACACTGTGCGGGTCGAGGGTGGCTCCTCTGTACGGTCAGAGCCCCCGAACAGGCAGCTTTGTGTGGACGCCATGGTGAGTTTGAGTCTGTGCTCTAGAAACAAGAAAAGCCATCGGACAGACTTCACCAAACTTCTTTAGCACTGGTCACATGGCAGAACTAACAGGTGTCCTTTTACCTGTTCAGAATGGGGCACTTTGGCATGAGGGGGCGTTTCAGGAAAGAGATCTCCCCAGAATCTGAGAACAGAGGTTGGTCCAAGGGAGGCCCTCTGAGGCATCAGGCCACGTACAGAGGAAGAATCCAAAGTTCCCAGTGACTGAAAATAAATAAGAATTATGAAGGTTGTATTGGGAGTCACTTAATGAGTCGAAGGCAGAAGCCTCATGGTTTCATAGCTACCGGCAGGTAAGGAAGTCGCAAAGCCCAGATGTCGATGTTTTCTTGGTCGTGTGTGTTTGCCCTGTTGTGCATGTCCTGTTTGTTAAGAAAATCTCGTCACTCTCCAGAGAACCAGGACCAGATAACATGAGGAGCCCCTCTTCCTTTCCTCTTGTGAACCATTTCATCAATAGGCTTCTTTGACTTAAGGATTTCCTTGGAAATATGTGGGTACTATCAAATAGTCATCTTTCCAAGAACACTCAGCGGATATACCTCAGTGTTAGGCTGCACGCAGTGCACACAGCTAGGTTGAAATATTTTTGGAAATTAGTTAGAAAAGTGAGGACCTAAGGGAGGGCCATGAGCAGCTGGCACTCTCCTTGGAGCTCCCATCTGCAGCCTCTTGGGTCTTTCCTGTGAGGGCTTCACCGTTCCCTCTGGGCTTGTAAGGTATTGAATTGATTGTGTCCTAGTCTTCCCCGAGTAAGGCCATTCAGTGTGAAATCCAAACTAATACAGAATAGAAGTAAGTATGGTAAAAACCAAAAATGGGATTTAGCTTATCCTGTTTTGTTTTTAAAACATGTGTATTTGATCAGCAGAGCAATAGTAGTTGTTGTCTTTATATATTATTATCACACTAGAGGCCTTGTGCACTGCGGGTTGGGGGGGGGGAGGGGTCCCTCAGCCTAGCCTGCACCCTCTCCAATCTGGGACCCATCGGGGGATGTCTGACTGCCGGTTTAGGCCCGATGCCTAGCAGATTGGGCCTAAACCGGCAGTCGGACATCCCTCTCACAATCCAGGACTGCTGGCTCCCAATCGCTTGCCTGCCTGCCTGCCTGATTGCCCCCTAACCACTCCCCTGCCAGCCTGATTGACGCCTAACTGCTCCCCTGCCAGCCCGATCGCCCCCAACTGCCCTCCCCTGCCGATCATCTTGTGGCTGTGGGCGCTGCCATCTTTGAGGGCAGGGCAGTCAATTAGCATATTCCCTCCTTATTGGCTGTGGACACCATCTTTGAGGGCAGGGCAGTCAATTAGCATATTCCCTCCTTATTGGCTATGGACACCATCTCTGAAAGCAGGGCAGTCAGTTAGCATATTCCCTCCTTATTGGCTGTGGGTGCTGCCATCTTTGCGACGGTGTGAGGGTCAATTAGCATATTCCCTCTTTATTAGATAAGATTATTAAACTCATAGTCCTGAGATTGTGTGTGTGTGCACGAACCTGGTGGAAATGGGAACAGGTGGCCTCCTCCACACAGGTGTGCTAGGGACAGACAGTGGCCACCCAGGCAGCCAGCTCTCCTTGCCTTCCTCGGAGGGCTGCACAGGGATCAGGTTCCTTCCAGCCCCAGGCACAGGGCAAGAGGGGCTTCTTAGGTTCTAGGTCAGTGATGGCGAACCTTTTGAGCTCGGCGTGTCAGCATTTTGAAAAACCCTAACTTAACTCTGGTGCCGTGTCACATATAGAAATTTTTTGATATTTGCAACCATAGTAAAACAAAGATTTATATTTTTGACATTTATTTTATATATTTAAATGCCATTAAACAAAGAAAAATCAACCAAAAAAAATGAGTTCGCGTCTCACCTCTGACATGCGTGTCATAGGCTCGCCATCACTGTTCCTTTGGTTGAGTCAGAAATGAATGACATGATGAGATGTTGGAAATAGCCCCCTTAGTTACTAAGACATGAAGGTCTTTGCTTCAGGAGAGTGGCAGCAACCAGGGGCCAGGTTAGCCTGCTGGTTGAGGGCAGGCTCTGGAGGCAGAGAGACCTCGGCCTGGATTGAGTCCTCCTCCTACCACTCGAGGCTGAGCACAGTGTTCTGGCCAGCCCTCCGCACAGCTTGAGGTGCAAGGGCATGTCTGTTTACTTCCAGTAAAATAAGGACAGTGCACAGCCCTTTCGTCTTCCAGCAAAGGAGATGCAAGATTACTTCTGGGGCTTTTTTGAACTTTTTGAAAGGGAGAAAAAATTTGGAGTTGAAGCCTTTTAAGGAGGCTTTTTGGTTTGATTGAGATCCTTAAAAAAATGTAGGTCTCTGTACAGGAGGAGAACTTGGGGCTAGTCTCTGGAGTGCTTAGCCTGTCATCTGTTGTATTCTAGGCCTTTGAGCTGGCGACCGGAGATTATTTGTTTGAACCGCATTCTGGAGAGGACTATTCCAGAGACGAAGGTGAGTATTGCTGCCTGCTGGTACCGTAGTGTGGGGCTCCTGCCCGCGGGTCCTGAAATTCTGGAGCGTATTATATCTTGTTCTGAAATAGAACCATGTGTTGGTGTTTGAACACCAAGTTCAGATGATTTTCTTTTTGAGCTTGAAGCCCCTTCAGTGACAGGGAATGGGCAGAGCCTCCTGGAGCGCCCTCCCTCCTGCTGCCCACAGCCCCCCGCCCCCCAGCCGGCCGGGAGAGGACAGGCTGCACAGAGCCGGGGCCTCTGTGTTCCTTTTGTCCACTGATCCGCTACTTGTTTTCCTCTCCTGTTGGGGAGCTGAGCTGAAACCCAGGGAATTCGAGCTTGAACCCCATCTGTGAACCTGGCCCTCTCTATGCTGAGTTGCTGGTGATGCTGGGTGGTCTGGGATGTGCTGGTATTCATTACCGTTAATGCTCCAGATGGTGCTGAGGCCTGCCAGTCCCAGAGCCTCTGCATGGGTGTGCTGCAAACATTGTGGATTTGAATCTGTTTCTCAGTTTTTACTAATTTGTTTTCTCCCTCTTTTACCCCCTCCTTCCCTTTGTCCCGCCCGTTCCCATACCCTTTTTTCTCTCCTTTGTAGACCATATAGCCCACATCATAGAGCTGCTAGGCAGTATCCCAAGGCACTTTGCTCTATCTGGAAAATACTCTCGGGAATTCTTCAATCGCAGAGGTAGTACCTCTTCTTTTTGAAAGCGCCGCGATGCAGACAGAAACGGAATAGCAGCTACTGGTTTCAGCATTCCTGGTGACAAAGGCGCTTCTCCTAAATTTATAAAGCAGCCGGCAGAATCCGGTGCTGGTGTCAAAGCTGAGAGGGAAAGTCCCGTGGCCCAGTGCCGCGTCACCTGTGCACCAGCTCCTCCGAGGTGTCCTGGGCCCGGTGCCTGCATCCAGCCACACGGCGGAGCCAGTGCTTCTGGTCGCTCGGTTTCTGTCTGCACAGGCGGTGGCCGTGTCTGCATGCAGTGTGCTGATTAAACTGTCGTGTGTTTCTGTTTTGCTGGTAATGTTTCCCAATGCAGATCACATAGCATTGATCATTGAACTGCTCGGGAAAATCCCTTGAAAATTCGCTATGTTGGGGAAATATTCCAAGGAGTTTTTCACCAGAAAAGGTAACGGTACTATGCAACACTAATTTCAGCATAATCCTCTCCCAAAAGGAGAAATTATGCTTTTGCATTTGGGCATTGGAGAAAAACCTGGACTTTCACATCTGGGGAATTCTACTGAAGGAAGCTCCCAAGAAATAAACATGAGTGAACCATCTGATACCTGTGGAATAAGAATTTTGTAAGAGGCAACCTTCCTAAAATCTTTTATCTCCTCCACACCTCCTCTCTCCTGCTCTGAGTACCAATCTGTGTATTAAAGTATTTATAAGAGGAGTTAAGTGATCGTTAGAAACCAGCTAAACTTACCTTTACATTTTCTGTGCTGTTCATGGAGCTGGAGTGTTCCTGCACTGGAGCAGTGGCAGCCCAGAGCCTTGCCTTAGTGAACGCCCACTGCTGTCCTCTCGGATCTGTCTGAGGTGTTCATGCAGTGGGGCAGGCCTGTGACATCCATTGAGCTCCATTCCTGCAAACCCGCCCCTCTTCTCCCATTGCAGGATCTCACACTGTGTTATAAGTGATTTTATTTTAATATTATTCTTATTGATGCTTCCTTGGCATGACCTGTTTCTTTGCCCTGTATAGTCAGTCCCCTTATTAATGATCAATTTTCAAAAACTCCAGGGAATTATTTTTAAAGAGTCCCTCCCTAGTGCTATAGTCTTTTGTGTGAGTATAGTTAGTTCTCTTAATTCATGATTTTTCAGCTTAATTTTTTTTATTGTTGTTAGAACCTTTAAAATTGGTGTGAGCAGGACATGGAGTTATAGAAATTCCTGAAAATCCCAGATACTCTCTGCCCCCTGCCCTAACCTGATTTGTTGCACCAATTTGACATTTTATTTTCCTATGAGATAAAGGAATTCTTGTAGAGTAGTTACCCCCACCCCCTTTTTTTGTTGTTAATTCTCATCCAAGGATATTTTCTCATTGTTTTTTAGAGAGAGTGGAAGGGAAGGGGAAAAACATTGATGTGAGAGAGGCACATCGATTGGTTGCCTCCTGCAAGCGCCCTGATTAGGGCCAGGGATTGGGGATTGAGCCTGCAACCAAGGTACATGTCCTTGACTGGAATTGAACCCGGGACCCTTCAGTCCTCAGGCTGACAGACGCTCTATCCACTGAGCCAAACCAGCTAGGCTAGAGTAGTTATCTTTTAATATACACTTGATGTTCAGCTCACCAGCCTTGTTTTGTCCTGTAGGTTTTATTTCCCTGTTAAATATACGGGAGAACCGAGAACTAACCATGGGAAGGTGTTCAGTGTTCCACTTCCTGGAGCACATTGACCACAGCCGAGCTTTTCTGGGACCACCCAGTGGGCAGCCTGTGACATGTGAAACCAGATGCAGTTATTTTTTTACTACCTTTTTAAGGCTTATCACAGGAAAAAGAATTGTCAGGGAAAACGATTTACCAGACAACCTGTATTAATTTTGGTTCTGAGATTCTGGTCTTCAAGTCTGGGTCACAGGAGTGAGATGGAAAGTTCCCCTGCCCCACCCGCAGGCTCACTACCAGACCTCTGAGCAGCCTGAGGCCACCAGTGCTCTGGGTGGTGCTGCCCTGAGGCGCCCCGCCTGTCAGGCTCTGCCGCAGGCCTGAGTGTCCTCCAGGCACCGCACTTGCCGAAGACCAGACAGCAGCAGCTGAGGGCCTGCACCCTCTCCTCACCTGTGTAGGTTGCCTTCAGAGGGCAGGCTGATGAGTGCTACCTAGTGAACTGATGTCAGATGGTGGTGGGTTTCAGCTCAGAGCTCCCTGTTCTGGGGCCCTTCATGCTGGAAGCTGGCTTTCTGGTTGGCCTTTGCGTCAGCACCCCGGCACCTGGGTGCTCCTGGTCTGTGCCCTTCCCTGCCTGCGCACAGGCAAGTGTAAAGTTCTCCATTGTCCCGGCTGTGCTTAGGTCTTGCATACGCGGTTCTTTTTGAGGCGCTTGTTTCAAGGTGACCTGTAGAGTCGAATGCATTTAGCATTCTTGGTGTAAAAACTCATGCTTGTCCCAGGATTTGTCTTCATAGTCCCCGTATGTGGTGTAAAAACTCATAATTCTGGAATATTATAATTTTATGGACAGAATAACATATTTCCCTTCACAAATCACTTAATATTTAAGAGACATAACGGAAGTACTTCACTTTTTTCCCTAAAAAGTAACCTGATAATCTGGGCCTGGCAGATACAGTCCCAGGCCCAAAGCCTTTCCTCCGGAGGAGCCCTCCCACAGGCCTTTCCCGGCAGCTTTCTGCGGCTCGTCAGGGGGGCTGCCCTGGGCTGGTGAGGGCGGCGGTGGCAGGGCTCCCATCTAGAAAGTAGCCTGGCTGGTGTCCAGTTTGCACACACAATGTGTGAGAGCTGGTGACGAGGAAGGGAGCAAGGCTTAAAAAGTGAAGACGATCACCATGAGGTGTCATTAAGTCCGTACTTGCAAAATTTGTTTCAGCAAAACATATCTTGGTATATTTTCTTAAGAGAAAAAATTGTCAGGGCAAAAAAATTCTTTAACTTATGTGGGAGCCACTTATGTTCTTATTTTATTTTTATAGTAAGTGGTGGCAGTGCAGGTGCTGTTTCTTGTGTTTTATATGCAGGGCTGGAGCTGGTAAGGGGACTGGAGGCCCTGACTCCTCCGATGAGCCTGGATTTATCATTTCTGCCAGGGCCAGATCTCCAGGTTTGGGAGCTGAGGGTTTGTTTTTAACCTTTGTCAGCTAGTTATAGACAGCATTTCTGATCATTGAGTTAAATGCAAGAATGTGTACATATTTCACGTCTTTGTTATTGTAATTTTTGGCATCATGTATTCTTTCACACCTATCCACATAATCCACATATTCTTTTTAGAGGCAATTCAGTGCTCTGTTATATTGCATTGTTATTCTGTCTTCATTGCCTACTGGTGTTTAGGATTATTCTGCATATTTTCCTGTTATAGGCCGCATATTTGCACATACAGTTTTTTATGTGCGATTTACCTGGTCAAAGTATGTTAGGTATTTTAGACTGGGGATATTTTTATCAGTTTGTGATACTAGTTAGGTCTGAATAGTTTTCACAGCCTTTCAGCACTGAATTGTTATCATCACTGTTAGGCAGACTTTAAGTCACCTTTGGGGTAATCCATATTTTCACTAAAGAGTGTACATACTTTCATGCCTTTTGATGGATTTTTGTTTGTGTAAAAACTGGCATCCTTGGGACTACATGTCTCGGTTGTTCTGGGCAGACAGTGCCTCTGGGTAGTTTCATTCATTTCCAAGCCTGGAAAGTATTTCTTCCAAGTCAGAATAGATGAGTGTAAATAGAGTCCGTGTCGTCCGTCCCCCGTCCCCGTCCCCGTTCATCCGTCGTCCCCCCCCCCCCCCCCCCCGCTCCCAGAGAGCTTGTAATAGCCTGTTATGTGTGAGCTTTCTCCCCTTGCTTGGATGAGATCAGTAGTCACTATAAAATCAATAGAGCTTCATTATAGAAAATACAGGAAAAAAACAATATTATTACAACACTGATGTGTGGGGGGCACCTGTTATATCTTTTTTTTTTTTAATTTTCTGTTCCCATAGTCCTTTTTTTAAAAAAAAAACATATTTTATTGATTTTTTACAGAGAGGAAGAGAGAGGGATAGAGAGTTAGAAACATCAATGAGAAAGAAACATCGATCAGCTGCCTCCTGCACACCTCCCACTGGAAATGTGCCCGCAACCCAGGTACATGCCCTTGACCAGAATCGAACCTGGGACCTTTTAGTCCGCAGGCCGACGCTCCATCCACTGAGCCAAACCGGTCAGGGCCACCTGTTATATCTAATGGGCACTTTGAAGATAACTCTTGTGATCAATGTATAGAACATAGTTTTCACATTCATTCTTTTACTACCAAACATTTTACCATTTAATTCCATGTTATTAAGTAGTATTAAATAATATTCATTCAACAAACCACGATTGTTCTTTTTAAACACCATTCTCCTATTACTGAGCATTTGAAATACTGCAAGTATATATACTTTGCAGTATGCATATTTAGGAGGTGTGTGTGTGAGGGGGGGGGGGGGTGCCAGGGTTTATTTTCTTAGGCTGGTCCCTAAAACTGGAATTTTGGTTTAAAGGAGATGAACATTCATGATTGCTCAGACTTTGTCTGAGGGTGGCTTCCCCTGTATCAATAGACCTGCCCTGCAGACTGGAGGCTCCACTCCATCCCCAGTCCTCATAAGGGAGCCAGAAGCTGTAAGAAGAACGTGTAGATAGATATATTTTTTAAAATATATTTTTATTGATTTGAGAGAGGGAGGGAGAGGAAGAGAGATAGAAACATCAGGGATGAGAGCGAATCATTGATCGGCTACCTCCTGCACAGCCCCCACTGGGATTGAGCCTGCAACCCCGGCATGTGCCCCGAGCGGGAATCAAACTGTGACCTCCTGGTTCATAGGTCAACGCTCAACCACTGAGCCACACCAGCTGTGCTAGATGTTTTTATTCAGAATTCTGTGCACATCATGATTACAACTCTGTAGACATAGCAGCTCATAACAGTATATATTGAAAGAGTATAGACTAGAAGAAAAGGTCCCTGTGGGTGGGATTACAGTCACTTCTGTGTTTATAATTTTTTGAGATGTTCTTTTATTTTCTTTACGATTAATGAAAGAGGAAGAGTGTTTCTAAATTGAGCTGAGTAAGTGGGTGAAATAGACGAAGCCTTCTAAGACCTCTGTAAGCACAAAACTGGATGTCTGTTAATGCATATCATGAGAAAATGCACCGTGTTGGTTAAACTGTGAAAGGGGAGAAATCGTCCCTGGCATGAGGTGTGCCTTTAGGGTGCCTGCAGGACTCTGGCTTGCTGTGGGCCTGAGAGGGTGTGGGGTGGAGTGCAGCTTGTCTGTGTGCTCAGACGGGCGCCCACGGAGGCCTCTCTATGGGCAGGGGTGCGGTATCCTGTGAAGATTTCTAACAGGTGGAGAAAACGAGTTAATCATAATGTAAGCTTTCCTAGGGCAGTTTGGCTTAAAGATAACTTTTTCTCCTATTATGAAAAAGGCGTTTAAAGTTACTGCCCGTTTACTAGCTTTTTAGTCATTCTGTTATGTCCACGGGGCTGCTCGGGTTTATACTGCAGCCGGCACAGTTTGAAAAGAATAACTTCAAGGTTTATAAATGTATGCCCTGATATCTTAGATTTTACAATAATTGTGTAGAAAGGAATGGTATTTGATACAGGTTGGCATCTAGAGCTGTGCTGCCCTGTAGAGGAGCCACAAGCTACTTACATTTAAACACATTAAAGCTGGAATTCCTTAGCCACACTGACCATATTTCAAGTGCTCAGAAGCCATAGCCAGCCTGCAGCTGTCCCCTGGAGTGCAGATGAAGTGCATCGTAGGCTGCCATCACACTGTTCTAAAGGAAAAGATGCCTTTTTCTTTTGCGTGGTAACATGCAAAATAGTGGCCCAAGGTGTTTAAATAGTATGTATCTTAAAGCTTTTTCTAAGCAAATTTGCAAGTTGCAAAAAATACCAAATGGCAGTGGGAGTGCCTCCATCAGTTTTGCAAATGGAAACCTCTTAGATGCACTCACCAGGCCCTCCTCATGTAAAGAAACCTAGAATCGATGTGAACGAACTAGTCCCTGTTAAATTAATGCCTATTTACATTGGCCAAGCTTACTTGTAGATGACACACTCATGTACATTTAATGATTATTCTTGAGGAGAAAAGCTGGCCTTCTTTGTTGTTTCATAGTGTTAAGCAGGTAGGTATCTGCTTCATTGAAAAGAACCTGCCTAGAACAACAGTAGGAAATGCACACGTGGGGCTTTCTTGACATGTCTGTTTTCTCCCTGCAGGAGAACTGCGGCACATCACCAAGCTGAAGCCCTGGAGCCTCTTTGATGTACTTGTGGAAAAGTATGGGTGGCCCCATGAAGATGCTGCACAGTTTACAGATTTCCTGATTCCGATGTTAGAAATGGTTCCAGAAAAAAGAGCCTCAGCTGGCGAATGCCTTCGGCATCCTTGGCTGAATTCTTAGCAGATTCTACAAATATAGCATTCTGAGCTAGCAAATGTTTTCCAGTACATTGGACCTAAACGGTGACTCTCATTCTTTTAACAGGATTACAAGTGAGCTGGCTTCATCCTCAGACCTTTATTTTGCTTTGAGGTACTGTTGTTTGACATTTTGCTTTTGTGCACTGTGATCCTGGGGAAGGGTAGTCTTTTATCTTCAGCTTAGTAGCTCACTGACCCACTTTCTTCTGGAAACAATACCACGTCTCTCAGCATTGTTTCTTGTGTTGTGTGACATTCAAATGTCAGGTTTTTTTTTTTTTAAAGAAAAATACTTTCCCCCTTGTGTTTTGGCAGGTTTTGTAACTATTTATGAAGAAATATTTTAGCCGAATACTATATAATTTACAATCTTAAGAAATTATCAAGTTGGAACCAAGAAATAGCAAGGAAATGTACAATTTTATCTTCTGGCAAAGGGACATCATTCCTGTATTATAGTGTATGTAAATGCACCCTGTAAATGTTAATTTCCATTAAATATAGGATGGGAACTCCAATTTCAGAAAAGTTACCAGGTCTTGAGTGCTTTGTAGCCTAAGTTGCATGTAGTGGACTTAGCTCCAGGGAGTTGTACAAACTTCATTCCATAACAGTCCTTTTTCTGTGGATTTTAAACAGAGTGGCTCTGGGTTATGTCATTCCCTATATGGCACCTAAAGAGAGAAAAAAACATACTTCCCATTCTAAAGTACGTTTTATAGTTTAGCAATCCTTTTCCTGTTTTTGCATATTTTAAAAGTACTTTTAAGAAGTAAAAACAACAGCAATTTCCCTTTAAAAATGCGATGGCCTGGTACCATGTGGTGTTGCCTCCTCCAAACACTGTAAGTTAAAGTCTACGTAGATTAAACTGGACAAGAGAAACATGTTCAGTGTGTGAAATGAAAAAATATATATTTTTGGAAAATCTTGCTTGTGTTTGTCTAGAAACCAAGGTATGGTATATGCAATTTGCAGTGTAATGGGCAGAATATTAACAACTCAGAGGTAACAGTGATCACGTTCATTCTGTAGGCATTTTTTATATGTGACTACAACAAATTTTACTAGTTTGTCTTTTCGTGCATTGAAGTTGAGAAATTGATTTTCCCTTTGGAGGTTGCACACAGTTTTATCATTTCTTTAAAATTGTAGAATCCAGGACACAAACCATAGTAGGCAATACAGTTTTAGGATGTAATATACAAGAGGTCTATTTAGCCTCTTTTAGAAGTCAGTGGATTGAATGCCAGTTTTTGGGGTTTTTTAAAAATTTTACATTTAAGGTGCCTCCTTTTTCTTGACTTTGTCTATTAACATTTATCCATATGCCTTTGCAATAACTAGATTGTGAAAAGAGAACAAGTGTTGTAACAATAACCCATTGTTTGAGGTGCTTGCAGTTGTTTTAAAAATTAAAGTGTTTTTGGGTTTTTTTTTCTCCCCAGACGCCTTGGTCATTGGCCTATATTTGAATCCATAGAATGAACAAACATCTGCTATCCTTTTAGTGTAGTGTACCCAAAACTAAAGTAAATAATCAACATTCCTGTTGCAGGAAATGTAGTTCTATAACATGAATTAAGGCTTTATACAAGGAAGTCACTCATTGTTTTGTAAGGGTATAGAATATGGATTCAGAGATGCTGCTGCAGTGTGGATTTAATACCTAGGATCTCAATGATCCCTTTTCATTTATGTTTAATGAAAAACATTACCTACACTTTGAGTATTACAATTCTTTTTCAACAGTGTTCACTGTGAGGGAACAATACATATAATCCTCTTTGGAGTGAGCATTATATCACCTATTACTGAGGTAGAACATACTGTTCATTTATGAAATGTGCTTGTACGTTTTTCTAATGAGGCTATAGGTTATCATACAGGTTCTATGACAGATGGTGGCTGTAGACCAGCGATGCTATCCAACATTTCCATAGGAACCATAATAATTTTTATCAGGGCTATAGCACACTTGAATGAAATTTATCTAATGCAGTTTTGGCTGTTAGAAAATTAACTAGATTATGAATTTTGGAAGGATCTGTCCCTCATGATAAAATAGTCTACCTAGTTTACAATGTAAAAAACAATTATTCTTGCCCTGGCCAGGTGGCTTGGTTGGTTGGAGCGTTGTCCTGTACACCAAAAGGTTGCAGGTTTGATTCCTGGTCAGGGCACATACCTAGGTGTGGGTGTGATCACCAGTCAGGGCGCATACAGGAAGTAACAGATGGATGTTTCTCTCTCACATCAATGTTTTTCTCCCTCCTTCTCTCTCTGAAATCAGTGGAAACACATTTTCAAGTGAAGATTTTTTAAAAATGAAACAACTGCTCTATAAGGAATATACATTTGTTTTAGGTACAGTGTGGTTTTTAGCAGATTCTTGGTGGCTTAATGATAATGTATACTATAAGCTAAAGAACTGCCGGTTATGCAAAACACTATAGCCAGTGATTTTAGTTGAATGTTCTATCTTTTCCTCTAGTCCATGTAAAGTCTTCATGGAAAAATGACAAGCAGTGGATTATAGCAGATTCAGAAGCTGGCTGTCTGGAAATTAGAACTTCCCAAAGGCAGAGAAAAGGTCAATATAAGAGCTTCAAAAAAGCATACATTTTTAAAGGTGAAAACTGATTTACTAACTTGCTTCTTCCTGTACCTGGATCATATATATATAGTTAACATAACTACTGGTTTCTGCTGGGGTAGAGAGCTTTAGTTTATATCTACAGTTGAAATTAATTCCTAAATTCCACCTTTTTCTTCCATTAATTTTTTTTAACTTTAATGAAATTTTGAGTATTTTGAGAGTGTATGCATCCTTCATTATCAAGTCAATTAATTATATAAGATTCTGCAGTTGACAGAAAAGATTCTATATACATTATTTATTTAGTAGGCAATCCATGAGGAATTAAAAATCCTTTAAAGAGATGAAGATGTTTCACTATGCTTAGTTAACTTCGTTCTAGTGTTTGAAACTGTCGGGTTGGATAATGTGAAGCCATTTCTTCTTGGACAAGTGTTTCTTTTGGTAAAGTAGAATTTTGTTCGATAAAGGCAAGGGTGGTAAAGTTGACCCAAGTTCTCCTAAAACTTGAAGCTGATTAGGATTGATCTCTAAACGCAGCTGTGTTAATGTACTATCATTAGCTATTTGGAAATGGAAATTAAAATGTATAACATGACTTACAGTATTGCCAATTCTTAGTCATTTTAGTCTGTTCATGTTTTTCTTCAATGCACAGAATTTGTATACTGTGCCAAATTATGTCAGGTAATTGGATGATGAAAAAAGTGTTGACAAATAGTGTCATTACTATTGGTTGTACTTATCAATCGCCTGAAAGGTAGAGAACATAAGAATAATTTTTTATTTTTCTAAAATAACTAGCATTTTATATTTCAGCAGTAAAATGTTCACTTTGAGAGGCCATTTTCATTTTACTTGAGAGAACTAAGAATAATGCATTTTTCCTTTAAATTTTGTATACCCAAAACAAATTTTTTTAATTTCCTATTTTCTAAAATTCCAAAACAAGAGAGTAAATGTTAAATTAACGTTTTTCAAACAATTTTGATAAATCAACAGGACATTTCAGTCTTGTTTTAAAATGTACAAGTTAGATGCTCCTGTGTGTTTTGGCAAATACTTAATATTGTGAAACAGTTGTAAATTATAGTCTACTAGAGGCCTGGTGCATGACATCTGTGCACTGGGGGGGGGGGGGGGGGGAGAGTGTTGTAGTCTGGGACCCCTTGGGGAGTGGGCCTAAGCCGGCAGTCGGACATCCCCTGAGGGGTCCTTAGCACTGTTGCAGAGGCGGAAGAGGCTCCCGCCACCGCCACTGCACTCGCCAGCGGTGAGCCCAGCTTCTGGCTGAGCAGTGCTCCCCGTGGGAGTGCACTGACCACCAAGGGGCAGCTCTTGCATTGAGCGCCTGCCCCCTAGTGGTCAGCGTGCGTCATAGCGACCGATCTTTCCGCCGTTTGGTTGATTTGCATATTAGCCTTTTATTATATAGGATAAGGGTATCTGTGCAATGCTTTCATGGTATGGGTTCAGTCTGTGTGAGATCAGATACAGTGTACAGAGCATTTACATAACCTAGTTTCCTGTGGCTCCTGCTCCTGAACACTGACCAGCAGAAGCATTACAGGAACAACCTTTACTGCTTCTTGATGCTTGCTGCAGTCCCCCTGAGGTAGTATTTGCTAAAGAAAACGGAAGGCTCCTTATAAACTATATAAAAACAAATAAACTTTTGTAAAAGCACTTGTTTAAACAGACCCCAATCTCAGAAGCTGTACAGGACAATTTGGTAAAACGGACATAATTGTGATTTATTAACATGAATTAAAATGCCCAACCAGTGCTTCAATGTGACAGTATATTTAAAATAAAAAAGAAATTAAAGGCCATATACTGTACTACTTTCACGAAGATCACACAGTTTTGCAAAGACTTGTAATATGTACAATGCTATATATCAAATGAGAAAAGCTGTAAGCAATTATATATGCAAAAGAAATGCAGTATTTACAGTTTGTCAGGAGACATTAAAAATCATCTATACATTAAATTACATTTTGCTTGCAAATAACCATAAAACAAAATGAGCCATGTCCACATCAAACTATAAAAATCTGTATTGCATTTTTTTATATCTAAGATGCACTCACAGAACTGCTGACAGGAAGAAAAAAAATAAAATCCTCGTAGTGCCATTGCTTAGCTCTGTACGTAATGCCTATGTATAAAATAATATAGAAAACATTCACTAAATGAATTTAACTGCAACAATAAAATTTAAAGATCATGTAGCATCAATTCTGCCAGAAAAACAGCTGGAATGTTCCACTTACAAAGTAAAGGTAACTAATACTGGCTTAATAGCACATTTTTAAAGGAATTTTTAAAAAGCAAAGGTGGGAACGATACAATGAAAGAGCACTGGTGTTTTTTTGTTTGTTTTTTAATACAAAGTTTCATGTACAAGCTTTAAAAAGTACCTTAACAGGTACATATTATACAGTTTATCTTACAGAACATTTTAAAAAATGTTTTGGGAGTCCATTTTAATGCCACCCTGAACCATGGTAATTGTTCTGAAATGTTGGTGGCACCTGTGCTCTGTGAATTGGAATCTGTCCAGGCACTGGAGATGCCTGCTGAGGTCCTTGAACCCCGTGTGGCAGAGCCACAGAGCCAGGATGAGGACAGAACCCTGAAGCAGGTGTTGGAATACTGTTTGGTCCTTGGGGCTGGAGATGAGGACCTGCGACTGGTAATGGACAGTGTGGCCCTGTTCCAGAAGGCTGGTGTTGGGCTCCCGGTCCCAGAGCGGTGTGATGTGTAGCTTGTGAGGGATATGGTGGTACAGCTGGATGAGCACTTGAAGGAAAAAGTGGAGGTCCTTGATGAGGTGGATGGTGTAAGGCTTGAGCTGATGTGTTGTGATGCCCAGAAGCCAAAACACTGGAAGGTGGAGGTGGTGGAGGAGGTGGTGGTGGTGGTGCTGAATTTACAACATGCTGGTGTTGTGCTTGTAGACCTTGGAGTCCTGTGGAAGGATGGGGCGGTGGATGGTGATGAGGGGCAGGGGCAGGAGGTGGAGGGGGTGGTGGCAAATGGTGTCCAACAGTTTGAGCATGAATATGTGACCCGGGGGTGACAGCGTGAACAGGTCCTACTACATGTGCCACAGAGTGTTGCTGATGGGAACTTGGCTGTTGTACAAGATGTGGTCCTGGAGCAGGTGGTGGTGGAGGAGGGGGTGGGACGACAGTAGCAGAAGTTGGATGATGAATAGTAGGGTTCTGAGAAGGCAAAAAATGCCCTGGAGTAACATGGTGTCCTGGGACTGTTTGCTGGCTTGTGGTGCCAGGAAGTGCTTGATTTGGTCCTGATGTAAACACAGTTTGTTGGGAAAGACTACCTTTAAGCTGATTATAATTTTGAAAGTTTGCAGAGGGCTGCTGGTTTTGATAATAAGATGAAGAAGAAGGAGGCGGAGGGGGCGGAGGGGGCGGTGCCGCACTGTTCAGACTTTGTTGGTTAAACTGACTGTATGTTGCCGAAGATTGTCCTGAGGGTGTCTGTGTAAATAACGCTCCAGGAGGTGCCTGCTGAGTACTGGCCTGAAGGTTCTGTGCTGCTGGGTAAAAGTTTCTCTGAGGTTCTCGCTGAGGTGTTCCAACTTGAGGTGACTGTGAGTGGTGAGGCCTATAGGGAGACCCTAACTGCTGTGAAGGAGGCTTTGGTGAAAGATAGCCATGCTGGACAGGCGTGTGCGGCGTCGACGACTTGGGAGGATTTTCTATGTGAGGTGATGGAGGACAGTGTAACTTCACTGGTGCAGGAGGCAGCTTTTGTGAAAGTTGCTCAGATGAGTTACGAACGAGTGGCTGAGGAGGAGGATTCTTTGAAAG